AGTCGAGAACGCCGCCCCGATCTCTCCCCACTTAGTCGACTTGGCGCAGCATCCTTGCGATTCGTGTAGGAGGCACGGAGGCTAACGGAAGTGCGCATGTACGCCCTCTCGCCGGACGGACTCTGACACTGCTCCCTTTTTTTTTCTTTTTTTTTTTTTTTCCTTCAAGGCTCCTAGCCCCGAGGTCTTCGAGGGTGCATTGCAGATATAGGCGTGGCGTCTCGCCTCTCTCTCTCTCTCTCTCTCTCTTTCTCTCTCTTTCTCTCATTTCTTCTATTCTGCTTCTATTCTATATATTCGACTATATTTTATTTTATTTTATTCTATTCTATATTATTCTATTCTACAACTATTCTATTCTATTTTATTCTATTGTATTCTATTCTGTTCTGTTCTGTTCTGTTCTGTTCTGTTCTGTTCTGTTCTGTTCTGTTCTGTTCTGTTCTGTTCTGTTCTGTTCTGTTCTGTTCTGTTCTGTTCTGTTCTGTTCTGTTCTGTTCTGTTCTGTTCTATTTTATTTATAATTTTGTTTTAGTTTTGTTTTCGTCTTATTTCATATTATCCAATATTAATCTATTTCTTTTATCGTCCATTTGATCTTTTCAATTTCTGATTATAGCAAGATTATACAAATCTAATTTTCTTTCGTTCTTATGTACCTTTTGTTTCGTTTCATCTCATTTTGTTCGTTTGCTTGTTTGTTTGACTCCACGATAAGAAAAATCGATAAAGGTTGTTAAAAGAAAGGGATTCGTTTTGTCGAAAGTTTCAAGAATATATTATTAGCGTCTGCGTGTAGATAATATAAGTGTTAAATCGTTTTCTATGATTTTAACGTGATCCTTTGGTTTCGTTGCATTTTTTGTCTTTTTTTTTTTTTCTTTTTTTTTTTTTGTTTCTTTTTCTTGCGAGGATGAGATCGGCGAGGGGAAGGATAGTAGACAGGGGGTAAAAAAGAAAGAGAAATGTACTTAAACGTTCCTTTTCTTTAATTCTTTTCTTCATTAAGATACCTATGTATATATAGTCAAGGTACGTATATTTGCATGTGCCTGTGTGAGTGTGTATATATGTTGTATGTTGTGTGTCCATAGATAAGCGTTTAGAAAAATTGATCTATTTCTTTCTCGTTTTCTATACATAATATATATATATATATATGTATGTATATACTAGTACATAGGTAAATTAAATAAAAATGTAAATGGTTTGAATTTGACGTATCTTGTATTATATCGACAGTTGATTGATTAATTCGTTAGATATTGAGACTTTTATATGGGATAATTGATTTCCGAAGGAAAGAAATTTTAGCGAGGAAAAATTCTTAAAGAAAATTGATCGTAACGAGGAGAGAAATTCGGTGTTCCACTAAAGGCAAACCTTTCGAAATCCACGTCGCTCGGCATGCTTTCCATTTCTAACGATCACCCGAGGAGACCGGAGACCAATCGTTACGACGTTCCGTGAACCACGAAATGCGATTTCTATTTTTCCATCGTCTACTACCCGAAGTCTAGTCTTAGGTATCGATCGTGTTTTCTCATTGGATCACGATTTCTCGGATTATTGCGCGAACTCCATCGATCTGCGTACGCTTCCGTTCGAGAATGTTTTTGTTTCTTTTTTCTTTTTTTCCTTTTTTTTTTTTCAATCCAAGGCGTGGATAAAATATTCGTCCTTTTTTTTTTTATTTATTTATTTATTTATTTATTTTTGCAAAAAAGATATATATATATATATTTTCTTTTTTACATATATTAAATTAAATAAAGATCTCTTTTTTAAATCATGAACAATGAATTATTCCAAAACATTCATATCAAACAATTTTATTAATAGATATGAAATAGTATGAGGTATAAAAGATTAAATAAAATAAAATAAAATAAAAAAAAAGAAAAAGAAAAAGAAAGAAAAAAAAAAGAGGAAAAACCAAAATTTCCTCTATAAAATAAATTAAAATCTTCCCGATATATATGACTATTATATATATATATATATATATATATATATATATATATATATGTATGTATATATATTAAATTTGTCGAATAGTTATCGGTTTGTAAAGTTATTTAAATAGCCTATTTAGAATTAAAGACGTGACTCTTTCGATAATGGTATTTAAACCTCCCCACCAATTTCAATTCGATAGTCAAAGATCGGCCGATCCAAAGCTACCGGGTATCGAGCATTTCAAGCACGAGCGCAGACCGCAGGTTAAATCGAACGTTAAAAGGCAGCAAAACTCGTTTCTCCGTTCCGATCGCGCGTGATTTACGTGCGTGAATGAAGTCACCTGTCGGCAGCAGACGCATCGAGTCTCGCAGGTATTATGGTGAGCAGGTTTCTGTGTTAGGCGCCATGAAGAAGCAGGTTCCTTTCGGTTATACACACATAAAATACGCGTGCACACACACACACACACACACATACATATATACATATATACACACATGTACATATATATATATATATATATATTATTCGTGGTTTTGTACAAGTATAGAACCACGTGGTAATACGATATCCAAGTGCAAATAATAATAATTAGTCTTGTAGATACTTAAAAAAAAAATATATATATATATATATATATATATATATATATATAAAGGAATGAATGAATAAAAGGGAGGGATTTTCGATTTATATTAGTTTGATTTTTTCGGCTGTTTTTTATATTTTTTTTCTTTTTTCTCTTTCCTTTTTCTTTCTTTCTTCCTTTTTTTTTCTTTTTTTTTTTTTTTCTTTTTTTTTCCGCAACACGTACTCTGATCACATCTTTCGAATTCTCGTGTTCTTGGGGATTCTCAATCGCAAAAATCGCTTTCTCGATCACTTTTACTTGTCGTTAACCTAATCGACAGCTTCCTCCGCGTGATGATTTGTTATCGCATGATGGCTTTCGCCGAAAAATCGACGCGTAGATTTATCGACTTTATCTTTCGCGTATATTACGAATATCCATTTGGCTTGACACACTTACCGTCGTCAGGTAGTAAGTAGGTAAGTAGGTAGGTATATCCGATAAAATTTGATCGATTTTTTTTTCTTTTTTCTTTTTTCTTTTCTCTCTCTCTCTCTCTCTCTCTCTCTCTCACTCTCTCTGTCTCTTTCTCTCTCTGTCTCTCTCTCTCTTTTTCTTTTTCATCGATTCGCACAATTAATCGATCTTTCTTTTCGTCCTCCTGTTCTTTTTTTTTTCTTTTTTTTTTTGTTTATTTTTTGTTTTTACAGATTTATTATTCCAACTTTTCTCGAGCTTACAGAGTAAAGAAACGAAATAAAAATTCAAATCAAACGAAACGAAATAAAAAGTAAAAACAAACAAAGCCCTAAAGCCAATGGATCATTATTTTACTTGATAAAGTTTAATCATCGATCTATTTATATCATTAAAGATCGATAACTTATATAGTCCCCCTTCTCCAAAAAAAAAAAAAAAAAAAAATGATATAGAATCGAAGAGATGGTTACTCTAAAAAAAGAAAAAAAAGAAAAAAAAAAAAAGAAAGAAAAAAATAAGAAAGAACGGAAATACGACGAGTAAAAATTTCGATAAGACATCTTTGTGAGGCAGAGAGATCCTTCCTCCAGAGATGGAAGAGAGAAAAAACAGAGAGAGAGAGAGAGAGAAAAGATAAAAAGAAAAATACCGCGAAGTTGTGGTTGTGAACGTCGCGCGAGAATTCTGATAAATGTTTTTTCGATCTTGCTTTTCGAGCTACAGCTGTGGTTTCCTACGTACATATATCAGCTTCCGGAAAGCGTCGGATTGATGTCCTGTCGGTGACATACTTTTTAAGACTCCGACTCCTTAGCTCGGCAAGAAAAGAAGCACCGACGGTAGATCCGGTGCATTTTTTCTTTCTTTCTTTCTTTCTTTCTTTTTTCTTCTTCTTCTCTTTTCTTTTCTTTTTCTCCATTTTCTTTATTTTTTCTTTTTTTTTTTTTTTCCTTTTCTTTTTCGTTTCGTTAATTTCTCCCTTTTATCGCTCGAAAGCTCGAATCCGATCGAGTAACGTTATCGTCGAAAATGTTCATTGAATTATCTTTATCACGGTCTCTTAACAACGTCGCATAAGCAAGAAACTTCTTCTCGAATATATATATTTTTTTTTTTACTTTTCCTCGTCCCCCCCCCCCCCGCCCCTTCCCCCCAGGCCCAACCCTCCTCCTCGGGCTCCCTCCTCTAACGAGTTCAAGTCGGATCGATCGACGATTTCTTTTTTCTTCTTTTCTTTTGATTCTTTTTATTTATTTATTTATTTATTTATTTATTTATTTATTTATTTATTTATTTATTTATTTATTTATTTATTTACTTTTGTTTTTTTTTTGTTTTTTTTTTTTTCTTAATGCTATTGCACCCAGAGAAAGAGAAATTACAGAGATCGATCTAATTCTATTCGAACTATTTCAAAGAATATTATTAAAATTTGATGAATATTTCATTAGAGAGATATCGAAGATATTTTATTGTTGATGTGTAACTTTAAAAACGCGGAAAGACGGAACTTGTGCCATCTGTTTTTTTTTTTTTCTTTCATTCCGCAATGATCGAGTATAAAAATATACGTAATATCGTTTACGTATTACGTATTTAAGTCTCGTTTTAATAATTCATTCCCCATCTTACCAAATAAAACACGAAGATCTGCGGTTCGGATTGCCACATCCTCGTCGACTGTTGTTCGATTCGATTTTGAATCACGCCTTTAAAAGGAAGTAGGAGATAAAATGTTATAACATGAAGGAGTTACTATTAATATATATATAGATATATATATGACATATCTTAAATTATTTATTAATTTGGAGAATAATTACTTTATTTAAATATTTATATTTTATTATATAATTATATTTAAATTAAATATATATATATATATATATAGATATAAATATTTGTTAGTTAAGAAATAGTTAGTGAAAATATTAATTATTGATTATTCGAATTTTATAATTTTTTTCTTTGCTCGTTTGTTTTGCAGTGACCATAAAGGACGAACCGGAACAGGAACAGGAACAAGAACAAGAACAGGAACAAGAACAGGAACAGGAACAGGAACAGGAACAAGAACAAGAGCAAGAGCAAGAGCAAGAACAAGAACAGGAGCAAGAACAGACTGAGACACAAGTGGATACAGCAGTATCTCCGTCGTCAAGTGTAAATGTTCATTTTATTTGTTTCTTTTTTTTTCTCTCTCTCTTTATTCTCTTTTTCTTTTCTTTCGTCACAACAAATAGCTTTAACAATTTTACAAAAAGAAAAAAATAATAATAATAATAATAAGAAGAAGAAGAAGAAGAAGAAGAATCAATAAACAAATAACGCGATCCCAACAAAATATAGGAAAACTTTTCATTCGAATAATCGATAAAATTTCTTTTTTGTAAAAAATTTTCTTCTTTTTACAATATCGTCCTTCATTTTCAATTTCTTCTCTTTTACAATATCGTCCTTCGAATAAATTTCTTAATAATAAATCTAAATAAATATTATAGGATATATATATATATATATATATATATATATGCGGGTATATATACAAAGTTTGAACGTTTTTATTACAGGTTGATTTACCCGAAAGCGCGCATCCTTGTCCAGCTTGTCCGACCATACTTTTGACAACCCACGATTTAACAAATCACCTACGGGAACATAATTCACCAAGGAGCACAGAATACGGCGGCGAGGAAGACTACTGCTGTGCTATATGTCAAAAAGTATTGAGTTCGGCAAGTTCCTTGGACCGCCATGTTCTCGTACATTCGCGCGAACGACCTTTCAAGTGTAAATATTGTGACATAGCTTTCACAACTAATGGTAATATGAATAGACATGTTAAAAGTGCCCACCGCGGTGAAAGATCACCACCACAGAGTTATACCGAATCGGAAAGTACTAGTAACGACTCGGAAAACTCATCTAGAAGACAGCACATAGAAGAGCATAACAACAACGAGATATCGAAACAAACTTCGCCAAATTTTATGATAAGAGAAAGATTGGCGAAGAATTTAACGGCGAAAAGAAAGTCACCATCTTTTACCAGAGAAGATGATAGCCCACGTAAACACAAGATATTGTTAAATAATTCCAGAACCGAGATCAAACGTACGCCTGTACAGGCACAAAATTCATACAACTGTCCAGTTTGTAATCGGCAAGATTTTGCTACGAGCGGTCTCTTGGAAACACATTTGGAACAAAATCATCCAGAATTCACGGCAAGGTGCGAACCCTGTAATTTATCTTTTAAAAATCATCGGGTATTGAATCTACACCGTTATATGATTCATTTTTCTGACTATCCCGTTGGTATCCCTACGAGAAATTTACGTAATTCCGTAGTAGGATTCGACGATTTAACTTTTGTTGACTTTACCTCGGCTAAATTCCCAACTATTGCTAGGGTGATGTGCGAGCAAGCGATGCATCGGCCAGCATCCGGAGAAGGTACCAACTTTCAATGCGCCAAGTGTTCAAGGGCATTTCCTTGTTTCAAGTCTATGAAAGAACACCAAAATGAATGTGGTAAGTGTAGGTCAAGTTTGCAATGTAGACCGATAGATGTCGGGGAATCACAGAGGGATGATTTTTTTGCGGGCCTCGAATTACACAATAAAGCTGCTTTGACAGAGGCTAAAGACGGAAAGGATTTAGCGGATATAGAAAGCATTTTGTCCGTTACGTCGGGCCCAATTTTACAAAACTTTCCCCGCTCGGATGCTAGTACACCCGAGAATAATATGAAATTTAATTCGAGCGTTGGTTCTTCTGGTTCATCAGGAACAATGTCATCGGAATATCACGAAGAGGAAGCTCAGGATTTATTCGCTGCCGAATTCAGGAAGATGAAGTTGAAAGGAGAATTCCCATGCCGATTGTGTACAGCCATATTTCCCAATTTGAGAGCTTTGAAAGGACATAATCGCGCTCATATGGGCGTTGCGCCTGGAGTACCCTATCCATGCAATATGTGTCCTTATACGAGTACGGACAAGGCCACCCTCGTAAGGCATCTTAGATCTCACAACGGTGATCGGCCGTATGAGTGTTCGCTTTGCAATTATGCTTTTACCACAAAAGCAAACTGTGAGAGGCACGTTAGAAATCGTCATGGTAAATTAACCAGGGAAGACATTAAAAGTGTCCTGATATATCACCCGAATGAGGATTCGACGAATGAGAATATCGGTAGAAGTTCGCCAAGAGTGACAAAGGACGAACCAAGAAAAAGTTTGATATATCCGAATGACCGTGAAGATTCCCATCAGCAACAACAACAGCAGCAGCAACGTTATCTGTCGATGCCGATGGACTCGAAAAGTGATATTAGAGTGATAGACGAGGCAAAACTATCTAGCCCAGGATTGGCCTCGTCTCTTCGGAATATTATCGTTAATCATTGCGAAACAAGCGATACTTATTCGAGATCGAGCATACCATCGGCTGGGCTTATTCCAAGGAATATAGATGAGGTCACTACATCTCAAGATCAGAGTGGAAGGGCTGAGGATGATCTTGAATCAAGGTCATCTAACGAAAGCGTGTCTCTAGTCAATGATACTGAAATAGATATGCACCAAAGAATTCAAGCTAGTCCGATTAACTTGAAGAAAACGTCTAACGTACCTAACGCCGTAAATTCGAACCAGGACGGACCGTTGGACCTTAGCATGGACGTTCTAGATTTGAGTAAAAAAGCCAAGGAGAAAAACGGTGCTGGCTCTTCTAGATCGAACGAGCATTATACTGGCAATGATCGAAGAGAATTTTACGATTCAACGAGCCAATTGTTCCTAACACAGGCTCTTTTACAAGCAAGCCAGGGAACTTCGCCGGGAACTTCACCTGGTACTTCACAAGGAACTTCACAGGCAACTTCCTTACAGAATTTCTATGCCAATGCCCAATTGATATATCGCAATTTAGGATCACTTTCGGCAGGAGTAAATGCTGGAATTTTATCTCCTTATATGTTCAATCCGCACCTATTTGGACAAGACCTTAACATCAGGGACAGAATTCAAAAGGAATTCGCCCGTGGCTTACAATTGACCAGTGGTGGTACATTGGTCGATTCGTCTCATGGAAATACAGGTTTTGCCGGTTTTCCTCAATCCAACGATGGCTCGTCTCAATCTGTTAACGAGCAAAATGATTATACCAAATTGTTGGCCTCCAAAATGACCAATAAAAATTTATCGCCACGCGAGAAGCCGGATAATTCACCTTCGTCGAATTCGGTTAAAATGGTCATAAAGAATGGAGTTCTAATGCCGAAACAAAAGCAACGAAGATATCGTACAGAAAGACCGTTCTCTTGCGGACATTGCTCGGCTAAATTCACCTTACGTAGCAACATGGAGCGACATATAAAACAGCAACATCCTGAATTTTGGAGTCAACGACCTCGAGGTGGTCATTCGACGAGAGGTAGACCACCTGCGAACCATCCTACCTTAATTAAAAATTCTGGACAGTCAAATTCACAAGCATCGCAATCCTACTCCAATATACTACCCAAAACGGAATCATCGTCGGCGATAGAATCTGGTAGACATTCGATTTCCGATCAAGTTAAATATGCAATTTTGGCGCAACAATTGAAGGCAAACAAAATGGACGACAACGACACCGACGAAGAATTGATCATAGACGAGGATCCTACGGATAAAGAGATACAAGAATCTCAAGAACAAGGAGAACGTTCTACGAGTTTGTTGAGAGGACAATTGGAAGGTAATGAGTCTAACAAAGACGTCGGAGTTAAGGAGGAAATTTTAGAAAGAGACTCATCCGACGTATTTCATAATGAACAGACCGAAGAAAATAATGATACCAATGAAAATGGCCGAACATCTAGAAACGAAGATACCCTTGAAGTTAAAACAGAGGATACATCCGGAGATAATAATTCAAGGCACACCTTTAAAATGGACATCTGCACGGATACCGTACAAAATAAACAGGAAGATAATAACGCTGATCTCGCTAGCGTTTCTGAATTATTGGACAATGCCTCTCAACAATATCAACACTTTCAACCACAATATCTGAGCGATGAGGAAGGTTTGGTCGCATCTACGAGCGACTTTAACAATTCTGGAAGCGAGGACAAATCGGACTCGGTGAATTCCGGTAATTCGAATAATGCCTCGGCGAAGAAGAAAAAAAAGAAAAAAAAGAAGAAGAAATCTGCTTACTCAATGGCACCTAACAGAGTTATATGTCCATATTGCGAACGGCCATTCCCATGGACTTCGTCCCTTAGACGACATATTCTTACGCACACGGGCCAAAAGCCCTATCAATGTATATATTGTTCACTTTTGTTCACCACCAAATCAAATTGCGATCGGCACCTTTTGAGAAAGCACAAAACAAATCCTAACAAAATACGACGCGTTAGAAATTCATCATCGCCGGACAGTCAGGCAATAAATACGAACAATACGTTCTCAATGAGAAATGTACCAGAGAGACCATATAAATGTAATCAATGTCCGAGTTCGACCTTTTCGACGTTAGGGAATTTAAAGAAACATCGTTCGACAAAACACTCGCGCAAAACCAAATCAAGATCTGTATCGCCGTCGAGCGAACCACAAAATAGTCCTTTACAATCAACAAAACAAAACGATCCTAGCGATTACGAGAGCCAATCGTCCAGTATATCAGAAAATACGGAACAACAGCAGGCGGTATCACCGGTAGAAACGCAAAAACCAAATTCCAATATATCACCGACTAACAATGAATTATCAAGATCACGAAGAACATCCCCTAGATCCTCGCCCGGTCCTAACGACGTACCATTCAAATGTCATCTATGTGATTGCGGATTCGCCGATCGTCACGATTGTTTGGAACATATTAAAACGAATCATAAGAAATCGTACGAAATGTTAGTTGCTAAAGGTGCAATGGATATGGATATCGATGGTTTGGAAGATCAGCCGGTACCACCGCCGCCTCCGCCACCGCCGCAGCAACATCTTAGCGATGGGGAAGAAAGAAAAGGCCGATTCCCAGATTACAGTAATAGAAAAGTAAGTACTTTATATCTATTGCTCTTTCTCTCTGTGTGTGTGTGTGTGTGTGTGTGTGTGAATGTACATAATATCTATTATAAAAACAAACAAGAATATCTTCTGTACGAAATAAAGGAGAGAAAAATTTGATAATAAATATTATAACGAGATTAAATGAAATTATTATTGTTAATTTTCAACAGGTGGTCTGTGCCTTTTGCATAAGAAGATTTTGGTCGGCCGAGGATCTCCGTCGTCACATGAGAACACACACTGGTGAAAGACCATTCTCTTGTGATATTTGCTTTCGACGATTCACATTGAAACACAGCATGCTACGTCATCGTAAAAAACACGAATCGGTCGACTCTACAATGTACGTTGGTACAAGCGGCGACGAAGAAAATTCACCTACTCAACCACCAACGATAACACCACGTACCCAACAACAACCACCGGTATTAATGGCAACAAATATCAACAATTCTAGGATACAAGATAGAATCATGTCGTCGGTAGCAACTGGCGATGCTGCTCCCGGTGGTTTCATGAGATTTAATACCTTCGAAAAATTAACTACGTTTACCGGCAAATTGACCACCAATACACAACATAATGTCAATTCTGAATTATCCGAAAATACCGACAACGATTTGATCTCTAATCTTTTGGGCATACGCGATAAAAGTTTCATCGATAAGGTTCTACAAGCATCACCGGACGATGCCGCTAAATTATTAGGCGTACAACGTAGCCACGAATGAAAATGTACGATAAAAAAAAAGAAAAAAAAAAAAAAGAAAAAAAAAGAAAACGTATATAACGTGTAAAATACGTCGAAAGGAAACAAAGAATTTAAAAAATGGAGATCTCATTTTCTCAATCCGCTTAAAAATAATACTTTCTTTGTTTATGTCTATTTGTTTTCTTCCTTTTTTTTTTTTTTTTTTTTTCTTTTTTTTTCTTTTCCTTTCGACTTTTATCCATCGTTTTGCGTTTTAATATTTATTCACAATCGTGCCTTATATTATATAATCGTTCTATCAATTTTTGAATACGCTCGTCGAAAGAAAGGTGTACATACATTCTTTTTTTTTTTTTTTCTTCTTTTTTTTTTTCTTCTTTCCTTTCAATATAGCAATGACATCCGACACAATTTCGATCATCATTTTTAAACACTATAGACAAAACGCAATTGATTCACAAGCGTGGCTTTGATGACATCATTTAATTTTAATTTTAATTTATAATCAATGTCTCTATATATATATATAATTCAATAAGTTTTGACATTGTATATATATGTATAGTCTCGCGCGTTCTTAATTTTATCTAATTTATAATTAAAATATTTTAGAGAAAGTATAAAATATATTCGCGTATTCGAGTTAAATCATTTTAAAGGCATAAGGAAGAATGAGAAAATTAAACAAACAAAAACAAAAAAATTAAAAATTAAAAATTAAAAATTGTAAAAATTTCCATCTACTATTTCATCTCTTTTTATTCTTCTGTTTGTTTGTTTCATCTTTATTTTTATTTATTTATTTCTTTTTTTTCTCTCTCTCTCTCTCTCTATCTCTCTCTCCTTCTTTCTATCTTTCCATTTTAATCTCGAATCGCGTATTTTTTCCTATATATTGCATATACATATCCTAAGGGCGCGCAGATTTCATTTTCAATTCATATTATGTGCACTTATAACACGCAAAAGTGTATGTACGTTTCATGTTCTGCAATGTGTATATATGTGAAAATTTCCTATATCTATATATATGTGTGTCTGTATATGTATATATATATATATAATGTATACATATAAGAATATATATATATGTATACATATAAGAATATATATATATACATATATGAATATCTATACATATATATAGATATAAATATAGATATAATGTGTGTACATTTTTTTAGTATTAAGTAAGTAATTAGCTTTAGTTATACGATATAGAAGTATGATCCAATGAAATAAAAACCAAATATATCAATAAAAAATATTTAAATATTTATACTTTTTCCTCAAGCATTCGTTAGATAAGACAAAAAAATAAAAAGAATGAAAAAGCTCAGATCGATCGTTAAATCATTTTGAGCGAGTGATCTTAATCGTATTATTTAATTTATGGCGACATGAGATATTCAGATTATTGAAAAAGAAAAGAAAAAAAAAAGAAAAAAAACAACAAATGAATAAAAAAAACAAACGAAGTAATAAACATTGTAATAAGAATTACAAGAGCCATATGTATATATATATATATAAATTCAGATATATAATTTAACGTTAATCATATATATATATATATATATATATATACACATAAGTATATATAATTACTTTTTCATTCGATCAAATTTGTTTTATTATACATGTATGTATTTTGTGTTATTTTTCCGAGTTTATTTTACAATGAAAAATTTGTCTGTATATAATGCGTCCAAGAGTATAATTTTGTTTATTTATTACAAATACAAGCTCCGATGTTGTCAATGTTTCTCTTTTTTTTTTTTTTTTTTTGTTGTTACTACGATTGTCTGTATATAATAAAAAATAACTGAATAGATAAACTTTTATAAAATATGAATGGGTCTCACTTCAAGTAAAAATCCAGATTTGTCACATTTTTCTTACATATATATATATATATATATATATATATATATATATATATATATATATATATATATAAAATATAAATATTACTGAATAAAACTTGACGGAAAATAACATTCGATACGATGGAAGAAAAAAAAAAAAAAAGAAATACGAAATTCGATCGAATGAAAAATAGAAAGAAATAAATATAAAAAAAATAAAAAAGAAAAATGAAAAGAAAAAAAAAATGAAAGCTACAGAGCACGTGGGAATTTAGGTAAATGTGCAAGATGTCATTGTATATATCTTGATGGTTTATAGACTGTATTTGTAAATTATCAAACATTTATATTATATTATATTAATTTGGCATGCTTTTCTTATGCGACTTTCAATTAAAAATCTACACCGAATAATATTAGGAAATTGGATTTATATATATATAAAAAAAAAACATAAATGTTTCCTCAATAAAAACAACCAAAATTAATTAAATTAAACAAAAAGAAAAAAGAGAATTTATGAATTTATACATTATACACATATCTATGTGTGATTAATTTATATTTGATCGCATAAGAAAATTAATGTATATAGATAGCCCAATTTATTTCACTTGTAGAAATAATATATATATATATATATATATATATATATATATATATATATATATAATACATGAAATATTTTTTATTAATATATCATAACATAATATATACATATATATACGTATATAATATATACATATATATATATATGTATATATTATATTATAAACATATTAATAAAATATCAATACAAAAAAGCTACAAAGTGATTACGTTTTTCTTTGTCTATGAAAAAGAAAAACGATATTTACATAGAATTTTACCAAATATTTACGATTTAGTTGATCATTCTCTATCAAGTCCACTTCTCTAGGCTTAAGTAGATACAATGGATGGAAGAACCAAGTAGAAGATAAACGAATCCTATTCCTTGTTATTTTCTCTCTATTTTCCTTTTTCTTTCTTCGTTAATATCCACAATTTGTGTGCGTGTTTCCTCTCAACATCAATCACTATAGATCCTTTTCATCATTCTCTTCTACGTCTCAGCCTCTATATATATATATATAAATATATGTGTATATATAAATATATATATAAACGTATTATATATATATATATATATAGACACACATACAATATATCATTAATATTGATAATTCATCCTTAAATTTGTAGTATTTATTCTTTTATAATAGGAACAACGTCTATGACTAGTGCGCGATTAATCAATGTTAAATCGGGATAACGATGCGTATACTTAAGAATATTTTTTTTCATCTTTGATCTCGTTTTGACACATGCATATTAATTGTATCGATAAAATATTATATTATATAACACGCGCGAATATAATATTAAGAAGTATGTAAACTATAAGGAAATATATTTATCGAGGCAATTCCATTCGAGTTAATTTATTTATTTATCATTATTTCTTTGTTTACTTTTCTTTTCTTTTCTTTTCTTTTTTCTTGTTTTTTTTTTTCTTAAATTTCATTCGCCCCTTTAATTCATTATTATTATTATTATTATTATTATTATTATTATTATTATTATCGTTATCATTATTATTTTTATTATCATTATTATTATTTAGTATATGGATCAATCGGGGGAATACGGAGTGTACTAATTTTTTACAGGAAGGTTTATCATCATATCACTAACTCGTTTAGATTTAAACGACAGTTTAAGTAGTTATGACAGCTTTATTTTATTATCGACATGACGATAATTTGTTCAATAATGTATATCGATTGAAAAAATGAAAGCAAATGGTCGCTATTTACATACAAATATTACAAGATTTTTCGTTACTTGCGGTGCACGGTATTAATCATGCCGTCAAGCGTGAGATTTTTAATTTTATCCTTTCCTTTTCTTTTCTTTTTTTCTTTTCTTCTCTTTTATTTTATTTTATTATTATTTTTTTTTTTTTTAATATTATTTTTATTATTATTATTATTATTATTATTATTATTATTTTCTCTCATTTTCATCTTTTACCTATCGCCGATAAAATGTGAGACTTTTTCGTTACTCGTCTGACACATTTTTCCAAAGATTTCTACTTCCAGATTTATTGAAAAGATGCAAAAAGTTACTCACTTATATGCACAACCTTGTTGCTTTTTTGAAATGTAAATTATGCTTCTAGTATACAACACGTATAGAGTAAAAATAGAGAAATATAGATATAGATATATATATATATATATAGAGAGAGAGAGAGAGAGAGAGAGAGAGAGAGAGAGAGAGGAGAGAGAGAGAGATTGAGAGAATGAGTGAGAGAGATAGATAGATAGATAGAGAGAGAGAGAGAGAGAGAGAGAGAGAGAGAGATAGTATAGTACACTATGAGAAAAAAATGGATACTAACAATATTTGCTTAAACGCGTAATAGATGTAAAGCTGACGAGATAACAATTCATTGAAATGGAAGAAAATGAATTCGAAGATCACGACCGTATATTTACAATTTGGAAAGCACTCGCATTATTGGTTCGTAAAAAATGATTTTTCTTTTCTTCTTTTCTCCTTCTTTTTTTTTTCCCCCTTGTCTTTTTTTCTCCTTTTTTTTTTCTTTTTTTTTTTTTCCTTCTTTTTTTTTTTTTTTCTTTTTCTTTTTTTTTCATATAAATTAAAAACTTATCTTGAAAAGATTTTCTTATACAAATAAATCAGAAGCTCTGTTAGACAGTCTCCGCATACAATGAACATCCATTCTATGAGCACTCGTAAATACTGTTTTGCGTACACAGAGATTAATACAAATATTAAAACGCGTAATAATCGGCTACTAAATCACGCTACACTGTTTTAGCCAGTTTTATGTCGGCATTATTAAGCTGCGATACATTGTCTACTGAATAAGTACAAGATCCAACGTCCCCTATATCTTTTTCAATTTTAACAGCATTAAGAAGCATACTGTCATCCTGCTTGTGCATTCCTTGGATCCTATCTACATCATTCTCCAATTTAATCTCTTGTTTCATAGTAAATGCTTGCTTTCTCGTCTTCGTCTCTCGTTTGGGATCAGGCTTTTCTCTCTCGTACATAAACGTTTTTCGTTTTCTTCTCATTGGCTTGCATACTTTTTTATATAATACGTTCATCTCCTTTATTCTGCTCGTTGGTATAGTCCAATCCATTTCCTTGCACGTCGTATCAGGATTACGTGTTGGATCCATGCTGGTATCGTATACCGGTACTTCTAATCCCAATTTCTTCATAACACTGACCATAATTTCATCGACATTTCCATTAATGATTAGGTCAGCTTTCTTGTCCTAAAAGTATATAATTTTAACAGTGTTTTTATTTCTTCCTTTTTTTTTGTGTTTTGTTTTTATTTTATTCTATTTATTTATATTTTTTTTTTTAATTTTACTTTTTATTATTGTTATTATTTTTTATTATATATATTTATTTATTTATTTATTATTTTTTTTTTTTTTATTTTGCAACAATCATATACATGTCAATTATATTTTTTATAATATTATTTTACATGTTTGGTGGGCTGCAAATTGCATATAACAAGTCTCCCTCCGTATTTTTTAGTATACAATGGAAGATTCCCACTTGGAATTATTTGCAAAGTTGTTCCCAAGCAAATACTCAAGTCAGCAACGCTATCAACATGAGATATGATATATTTGTTTGTATAAATTTTGTTTTGTATGAATATACTTGAGATATATATATATATATATAAATACATATATAATAATATTCTTTTTTTTTTTTTTTTTTTTTTTTTTTTTTTTTTTTTATTTTTTTTTTCTTTTTTTTTCATGTATCAATGAAATACCTGGAATGCAAATCTGACAACGTCAAGTCACTATCCGGTAAATTGTGTTCCCAATCGAGGATAGTATCGTGCATACGACCACGACATGGACGACCACCTATCTGTTCAGATCTGCATACCGTATCCAAAGATTTCTTACCAACGCTCTTGCTTGCAAAGTTACGGATGAATTGCCTGTAAGCGTATACCAAAAGTGTACATAAATGTAAATAATTGAAAGTTCAATGGGCTTTTGTTTTTCATTTTACAAACTTTCCACATTTATCACATTGTTCGGTGAACATATTGCCATGTAATTCTGCAAGATGTTGTCTCTGTATACCCGACTTAAGATGCAGTCCATCAATATTCTGGCTAATTACAAATTTAATTTTTTCTGAAAAAGAAAGGAATAAAAAAAAAAAAAAAAAAAAAAAAAAAAGAAAAGTAACGACGTAAAAGGTTACCACCTTGAAAGCATAAATCAATTCTTATTATCGTACATCTCGTATTATTCTTACTTACTGCAGTCGATTAATTTTTTTAATGCCATATGCGTCTTCGTTGGTATTGCATCGTCAAAAGAAATATTCATAGAAGGCCTTAAACCTTTTTGTTCCAACGTCCATACCCCATTTGTTCCTCTGATAAAGAAAGAATATGAAGTATACAAAGTATAATATAATAATGGATAAAAAATACAGAGATTATATGCGTACCTAAAGTTTTATAACTTACCTTACAAACAAAATAATACAAAACAATAAAACATTCTTCCTCAATTGATTATATATATATGTGTATATATATATATACATATATATATATATATATATATTGATATAATACATTGATAAGTATACTCAGTATAATCTTATAAAATATTAACAAAAAAATATATCATAACATAAAAATAAAATTAATTAATAATTTTTTAATTATTACTCTCTCTCTCTCTCTCTCTCTCTCTCTTTCTCTCTGTATCTATCTCAA